CATAGGACATTCAAAGGAAGTGAGGTGAGCTAACAAACACAAGGGTTTGTTTGGATTAGCAGGGTTCCAGCAGATCACTGCCGTGCTGCTTTTCAAGTGTACAAGGGCTCAAGTTCACTTAGGCACAGTGCAAGAAAGCTACTGATTCCCAGCAGTAGAAATCTTCTTATATTTGTGTACAAAAGCATCTGTCTTTCCAAGACTAACAGCATAGACACCATCTAGAACCAGAGATCCAAAACATGTCTGTCTACTATTCAGAAAGGATTCTTCAACACCATTCACCAAGGAGGAAGAATTTCCATCAGCATGCAGGTCTTCTGCAGTGGTGGTTTCACTTGTACCATCAGAAATGGCGCCAGGGGAGTTGTGTTCAATACACTTGGTAATGTCATCCATGCGCTTGTGGAGATCACGGCTCAGCAGCAATACAACAGTCCCTCCAACACGAAGTAGCCTGGCAATTGCAGGAAAAACAGAGGTTAGGTGTTATCCTGCTTCGCCTTCATTCATCTGGGCAGAACTCAATACTGCTGACACCTGAGATGTCAGTTGCATTTGACAGAACACCTAAGCATGTTAAGGGTCATGGCTCAACTCAGTAACCTACATCTCCAAATGGAATTTAAATCCCTAACTTCATAACTCATCCCAGATTGGAGAACTGGACCTTGTCCACAAAGCAGATTAATACTAACCATTGATCGTAATCCATTTTCCTCAGTACATGAGCAACCATTACATTTGGCTTTGAGAGAGGATGGGTGGGGAAAGACTATCCTGGCTCTGTTCACTGCAAGTGGATTAAACAGTCCTGCTGATGGAGCTCTCATGATAATGGTCCCTTCCTCACCTCCCCTTCCCAAGGAAATACTTTGGTTAGCATGGCCCAGCAGAGCAATGAGACCAGAAGACAAGCATGGCCAAAGGCAGGGGTGGTCAACACAAGATTATGTAAGATTGCCCTGCCATTCTATGGAGCTACCTCACCTCTTCACCACCTTCCCATCACATTTTGGCACTGGCTAAGTGAGATCAACAACCGCTGAAGATCAGCCCTACAGAAAGGGTTTGTTTTCAGCCAAGACATAAAGAGGCAGATAGATGGAACTGCCTGTTAGAAGCAGCCCACTATTAACTTGATTGAACTCTACCACAAAATGACAGGATGAGGGATGAACAGAGGCATCTAAAAGCAGACCAGGTGGCTAGCTGGATATTCCAGTACATGCTAACAGAAAGGAAAAAGCACATCACCATTTTCTGGTCTGAGATCCTTCTTGGCAATGCAGGCTGGTAAAAGCTTGGTTGTGAACCCAAAAGGAAAACCTATGATTTTATACAAGCAGACCTCTGGGAAAGGATTATTGCTTTATTTGGCTGGCCATGGTGATCCTCTTCTCTTTCTTCTTTCTGCCTTGTAAAGGACATTTGTGACATGCCACACACTCACACCACACACTCATTCCTTGTCATCTTGCGCTACTATCAGCGCTTCCACAGCTTGCAACACAAGCCACAACAGCCTCCAAGAAACAAGAAAAGGACTGAGACCTTCACAACCTGCCCAGGATGAAGTACAGAGCTGGAGAGTGTTTGAAGAAGAGCAAACATGAAGCTGAATGAACACTTAAAACTGCAGACTATCAAGACACTTACACAAACTCCAAGCATATCAAAGGCCACACATACCTCTCCATTTCCTGGAGAATATCTGGTAGGATCTGTATGTCTTTTGTGATCTTGAACTTCTTCCCAAATGGAATATCTGAAATCACAGCGTCGAAGCTTTCTGAAGGCAATGGTAACGCTGAAGAATAAAGGCAGGTTTTTACATCCGACTATACGAACAATGAGCAGCATCTATGCCCCCATCCACCTTACGCAGCTGTCTGCCCGCTCTTATGTGGATCATGGACCCAGACTCACACCTCCTTCTATACTTATCCTCACAAACTACACTTACAAAGCCAAAGTAAATGCAGACTGGGAAGAAACAGATGCATGATAGTGTGGTTTCACTTGCAGATTCCCTGCTACTGGTGGTATGTGTGTTACTGGTGGTGTGAGAGTAAGACAGGGATGGCATGGTTCCAAACTAACTTCTGCTTCTCAACACACCTGTGCATCTTTACAAACCAAATGCAAAAGAAGAGTTAAGCTTGCAAACACTTCACTTAGTGCAGATGTTCAGATACACACGTATGAATGACAAGGCACGATATGTTGAATTTCCATCCATACCCTTTTTATTCCCCCAATAATCTGGTTACAGGCAGAATCACTTGGATTCTATTGGATTTAGGGTCTATGAATTACCTCCCAAAGTTTCTGCATTCTTGGAACAGTCAGCACTGCACCCTTGTGGTGATGAAGGCCAGCCACACACAGGCTGCGCTGGCCAGAGCATAGTCTGCATACAAAAGGGTAAGACTATGGGTTCTCCATCCCTCAGGATGCGCAAACTCGACTGGACACGGCCCTGACCAATCTGACCCAGTTTGGGTTATTAATGAGAAATAATGTTTCTTGCACTTCTGGTAAGAAATAAATATTGCAAGGTAAAAAAAAAAAAAATAAATGCATATTTCATCACCCCTGCACAGGGAAAAACACCCAGCTCTTATCTGTCATGGATTTCACACAGGACTAATTTAGATTCAGGCTCTGAGGTCCAAATAAGGTCATAAATTTACTACCTTCTCCCCAGAGCTGAGAGCAATCAGATTCCCAATTCCAGAAGAAAGGCACTGTCAATTAAAATACTCCTACTGCAAAACATTAACAATTCAACACTGAGCTTAATGAATCCCCCTTACTATTCATCTGGTAAATTTAAGTTGCAAGCCACATTTATCTGGATTTGTCCTCACTGTGTTCCCATTAGGCAAAGAAACCCTTCTCACATGTATGTAGTCTCTGTGGTATTCACAAATTTACCATTATGACAGAAAACTACTGCTCATGTCTGACAATTATTATTTTCAATGTCTTCTCTTGAGTTTATTCTTACCAAAGTTCCCAGAGGCGAGAAGGGGGAAACAAATAATTATCCATTCACTAGCACTACGGAGTCACTACTCACATTGTTGACCTCAAGAGAACCTCCACTACCTGCATAATTCCAGAATCACGAAAACCACTCCAAATATGTCTCACTTGGAAAGCCTTTCACATACAACACACATACCTTTCACAGAAGCTTTAAGTAATTCAATCTTATCCATCAGGCCTGCAGTCCTAATATTCACATCTGCACCCTCTAACTGTGAATCACTTATATCAGCACCCCAGTAACAGGCTTCCTGTTCAAAGAAAAAGAGAGAAGTAATTTTGTTGACAAACAGGTGTATTTATTTTATAATCCCTCCTCAGAACTGTTTTGTTGTACAGCTCTTTCGAGATAAAGCCCTTGTTGAGAGATCTACTACCACTACAGACACACAGAAGACAGAGGAGTAGGGGAAGTGTAAGTATGTGCTATCTACATCCCTTCCATATTCTAGTCTGATCAAAATACTTACAGAAAGACTGAGGCTACATCCTAACGGCAAGACTCCACCTCGCTACAAACAGCCATACTGCTGCCTCTGACAACTGCCTGCTAATACCTTTGATCATGCATTGACACCTTTGATCATGGAATAAGCCCAAGCAGTTTGAAAGGCTCACACAAACCCTGAGGTATAAATCCAGGGCTCCCAACACCTGCATGCACAAATATGCTGGACTTGGATTTACATTCCTGTGGAGGAACATTTGTACTAGATCACTTTACAACTGTCTGAAAATATCACTTTGGTTTACAGTAATGACTTTGGTGTAACTGTGGTACAGATTTTATTCAATGCAACTACAAGCCACCTTGCAAAGGTCCTGCCTGTTGCCACTGGGATACTTACAGGCCACTCTTTGGCAGCTTCCAGCAGTATCGTTCCCAGCCCACACATGGGATCCAGCACAAAGGCACCAGCCTACAGAAATAATGGGGTTATTGCATGCAAATCAAGACAGACTCCTCTCCCAGGACAAAGCTTAATTGGGGATGTACAGATCACCTACATATTCCCACTAAACCCAGTGCAATAATTACTGATTTACCAGGCCAAACTTGCCTGTAGGGAGTATAGTAAAAGCATTAATAGTTTCACTAAATAGAAGGCATCAACACATCCTGCCTTGAGGTTACATTCAGAGACAAAGAATACGAGTGGACAGCAGATAGATATTGGTATCTAATTAATCTGTGGGAAACATCACACTTGCTTCTGTTTTCCCTTGGGAGAACAATACAACAGGGTTTGAAGCCTAGACAGTGGAAAAAACCTTGCCATTTACACATCTCTTTGCATAAGGAATAACACCTCTGCTGAAAAGGACCTGGGATTACAGCAGATATCTGGTCAAACAGCAAGTGCCAGCACACTCTGATCACAGATATGGCAAACCCTATGAATCTGGGACTCTACATCTTTGCCGTGAGCATTAATTTACACTGATTTCAGCCAGAGATGCCATGGCCCATGCAATTGTTGACCGCAGTCCTGGCGTCTTGATGTACTCTCTGTTTGCCAAAGGAAGCCTGCAGACAGCAAAAAATCAACATTAAGATAGCAATACAACCACCCGGGAAAGCCTATGTAGCATGAACAAATGAACTAGACAGATCTGCAGGCAGACAGGTAGAAACCACAGTCTGGCCTACATGCTGGCATAAGCTCCAGGCAGACCACAAGACTAATGCAATAGTGCAGTGAATATTAAACCAGAAGATAAATGCTCACAGTGGGCAGCAAGAGTATTTAGAAATCATTCCTGTTCCGACACTGACAAGACAAATCCAGTGAGGAGAATGCCTACCTGAAAAGAGGAATCCCCACCACAGAGTGAACATCATTAAGATGTAGGAAGATCTGAAAGAGAAAACAGGTTACATTAGAAACTCTCAACCTGACATAACAACAGCTTTAACTCATGTAAACCAGACACAAAAGATGTTCCTACAAGCTTCAAACTGTAGTTTTTTGATAACAAAAATATATGCTTCAGAAAGCTATGATTAATTGGAAGAAATCTCACTAGATAATCTGAATGCCATTTTAAAGAGGATTTAGCATTTAGGCAAGCTGTGAAGAGAATTCTCTCAGCTAGGAATCCATCAGCAAGCACTTAAATCTTTAAGGGAACTAGTTTTTGTAACACTGAATGGATGTTTTTACTCATAAAAGCATTAACTCTAAGCAGAGAGGTTGGAACTAGATGATCTTTTAAGCTCCCTTCCAAACCTAACCATTCTATGATTATTCGCAGCATACTAGTACTCAGGTATTCAAGTACACCCTTCCTAATTTAAGGAAAAAAACCAACCACCTCCCAGAAAAACAAACTAAAACCAAACTAAACACAAACAAGCAAACAAAAGACCCACGAAAAAACACCCCATGAGTGCTACTAAGGAGAATTTTAGATGGAAAGTATTAATGCAATCCTTTGAGAAATGTAAGCAGCTCAAAACAATTGTCATTCTGTCCCATAGAGAGCATCCCAAAAGATGACTGAGCTCCCCAACAGGTCTTGCATGACTACAATCCCTCACTCCAAAAAGCCCAAAGAGTGATACTTTTGCAATACCCCAGACCTCAGCGTTTGAATGGTTTCAGAGCAAAAATCTGGACAAGAACAAAATCCCCACTTGAAGATCAATAAAGCTGTTATTTAATGCAAGGCCTGGGAAAACCAGAACCAGTGGATGAACCCAGAGCTCTTACAGAAGGCCTCAGATCTCTCAGCAACAGTGCTGAGAGCAACTTCCATACACCAAGCACAAGGATGGATAAACACCTTTGACAAGAGCTTTTGACAGCAATGAATCCTTTCCCAGGTCTCCAGACAGCTTGCACTGTGCAGAGTGCCTTAAGCAAGCTGCTTGTCAGGAACAGGGTCTAGGAGGAGGCTCTTCCATGAACAGCATTCTCAAGTCAGGTTCCTCAAGAACATGACTTTACTGCTTGCCTACAAAGGCTGCAAGGTGGCCCAATGGCTCAGGTAATCTCCATTTTCAACAGTCATAGTCCAGCTGTTGTTAAGCATGCTGGATCCTGGGACACTGCCTGTATGGATTGTTCCCCTGACTCACAGGCCCATGACAGCCATTCTCATCATTATTTAAGTGTTCTGTAAGGCACACACACAATGGCTAACAAGAAGCTTTGCTCAACACTACCAGATCAATTGTCGTTTAATTCAGCAGCAGGAAGCCAAACAGGGAGAAGCCACGGCTGTGAGTGCAAAGGGAACAGAGAACAAAACAAAAGAGATCAGGGGCAATGCTGGTAGCAACAACAGACCCTCTGGCAGACAAACACCACTACCTCTACATCAGGGTCCCGCAGATCAGCTTGCCAGCCACACTGCTTCATTAGCGTCACACCAACAGCTCTTCCAATCTCCTGCAAAGGGGAAAAACAGTCACAGGCCATAAAAATAACAGAATTGAGAATATTACAGACCACAGACTGCAGAATCCTTATAAATACCTGCAAAAAGAAAGAGGCTTTCTCCATCCCTAGGTGAACAATTCATACAAAGACCAGAAGTATAACAGGCCAAAGTGAGAGAGACGGGCAGAGAAAACACATCTCCAGACAAAATGACTATTCCTCAGCTGGAGGGCAGGAGGCTGAAGATCAAGTACTGCCCAAAGTACAACAAATGTCATCATTTTAGAATTATATTTCACACACAAAATTCCTAATGCTGTAAACTAAATTACCTAAGAGAAAACCTGTGAATGCATAACTGCAACTCACAATTTTCATGTTTTCATGTCATCTATAGAAAGCTCTGGCTATCTTTTGAATATGAGAACACACAGCACAAATTTAAGCAAATATTCATGTTGGCAGCCTCATGTGTCCCACCTTCCCAAAGTACTTCAGTAGGAAACAAGAACAGCCTAGTTTAACTACTGTTATCTTCTAGTAAGAGAAACCTACATAAACTGCAGCTACACATGGTTGCTTGGAGCTTTTTTAATCTTTTTATGTTCTTCATGCTAGAAAGGAATTATAGATATGAAGAGGACTGGATGGAAAAGGCCCCTGGACGTCTCTATGCTACCACTCTCTCCAAAGGACCAAGATCCACTCCCCAACACATGTCTCTGGGCTGCACCACCCTCCTGGGGATCAGGTTCTCCCCAGTACTGAACCAGAGCCCACCGAAGCTGCAAGCTCTGGGTTTTGCCCTGGTTTTACACTGAGAGGAGTCTGACTCCACTGTCCTTGCAATGGCCCTTTAAGTAGCTGTAAACCACTATAAGATCACTCCTCAGACTCCAGGGGCCAAACTACCTCAGCCTCTTACCTTTACTTAACCTCTATAAAAGGCATTGATTTGAAAAATATTCAGAGAAACAGTGCCCAGTAGTTAACAACAGCCCTTGTATTTCCACTTGCTTCAGGTAAATGCAGGTTAAAGGCTTTTTTTTTTTTGAGAAAATACAGAAAAAAATGAGATCATTTTGCAATTCTAAAACATACAACATAATTGAAATGACAAACCACATGTCTCCCTTCACTTTGCTGAATTCTGTTAAAACATACATATGTATGTAGGCATACCTGTGACGTAAGTACTTTGGCAACTGCTCCACTACAACGGCAAGAAACTCTGAAACTGAAGTTAAGCTGCTCATTTGCAATAGCTTTCTTTCCACTGCTTTTGGAAGAGTCTTCTAAGGAAGTCTCGCTTTCAGTCTGGCAGTCCTCTGGTATCACACACCTCTCTCCAGCTTCTGGCTGATGTTCCTCAGACACAGTCTGTCTCACTTGTTCTGTCCTCTGCCTTTTAGTTGCAGTATCTGTCTCTTCTGATTTTCTCTTGAGAGGCAATGGATTTTCTTGAAAGACATCATCTTTTTTACCCTCACACCCATGAAGGTTTCTCCAAATAGAGATAACGTCCCACCAATACTTTGGCTCTTCAATGAAAAGGCTTTTAATGTCATGCAGCATTTTCCCTGGAAGAAAAAGCTGTTTCAGGTTAAGCAGCTCAGGCTCAACACTGGATTTTCCTATGGATTGAGAACAGCTGCTAACAGAGACTGTGTTCAGATTTCATTAATATTTGAATCCAGGGACCATAGCAGCAGCACATCACAGGCAGAGCTGAGCTCTCAACACCCACATCAACACCCACATACTCCCCGAGCAGAGATCCAGGCACCCCTTTGATTACCAGCTCCGCAGACCCAAGATTAAATCATCCGACACACATCTAAACTTACACCCATGGGTAGTCCCCTCGAGCTAGAGGTGACAGAACAGGTACCAGGAATACAGAGGCAAATTCATTTTAAAACCTTGAAGCTGGTCAAAAGTAAAGGGGGGGTGGGGAAGTATTTCTATTTCTCGTTTTAAATTTTACAATCCGTTTTACAAGCCCATCTGTGATCTCCCAAATTAAATCCCACCAGCACTGCTTACTCCGGCACTGACAGTGAATGTGACCCGAGCAGCTGAAATTCACAAGGAATCTGTGTACCGAACATGCACGATCTGTGCACTGAAGTGACACAAGATACATGTCAGGATCACTTCCCTTCAAAGAAAACGGCTTGTTACAATGCAGAAGGTCCAGAAACAGACCTCAGTTTTCAGGGTGGAGCGTTTGTTATATGTCTTACACATAGGCATATATGTACAGAACCTGAGGTGGTAAGAGATCTAATACAAACCCCTAAATCTCCCCTCTGGCAGCTCAAAGCCATTCCTCATCGTCCTGTCACTGCCTGCTCTTGTAAAAAGTCCCTCTCCAGATTTTCTTGGGTTTCTGTTCTATTTTACACACACGAATGGAACCGGGAGTTCCGTTTTTGCCCACCCCCCCCGTGAGCACACTGGAGGGGGGGATCAGTGCCGTACCTTTATTTCTAACAACCGTAAGCGCTGGGTGCTTCTTGAGCAGCAAGAACAGCCGCTCTCCAGACTTGAGCTTCCTCAGCTCGCCCGGGTCCGCCTCTGTGCTGAAGAACACCTTTCCCGAGATGCAGTCCACCTCAGGGGAAGAACAGAAACTATAAACCACGCTGGGGACGTGCGTTGGGTGAGCACTCGGTCAGCTCACCGGGAGTGGCGAGGGTACACGCCTTGACCGAGGGGCAGATATCGCTGCCCGTAGCAGGGGCTGCACCAGTATCTCGAGGCCCCTTCCCGCCCAGTTTAAGACCGAGACCAGACCTGTGAGGCCCCGTCCGGTTTCGGGTCGCCGCGTCCGCCGCCGAGCCGCAGCGGTGCCGTCCGGCCCAGGTAGCTCCTTACCTCCGTGGCGCCGAGCCTTGCCCGCACCTCCCGCTCTAGGAACGGCTCCAGCCCGCGGCCCGCCGTGCAGAAGTACCGCCCGCCCCCCGCTGCCGCCATCTTGTCCCGCCCCGCGGCCCTCAGCGGAGAGGGCGGCCCTATCGCGGTAAGCCCGGCCGGGGCCGCTTCACCGCTAAACGCGTTTATCGTGACGGGGGACAGCTCCGAGGGACCGTCAGTGCAGGCGGTGACTGCGGAGCACTTCTCGCGCCTCTCGTTTCAGCAGGACACCGCGCCAGCGGTGATGGTGGGCCCATGAAGAGCAGCTTTGCTGTGGTGCGGGAGCCGTGACCTCATCCACACCGTTTGGGAGACAAAGCTGTAGGACTCGCTGGGAGTGATTCAGTGCCTACAGCGCAGGGGGAAGCGCCAGGAGCCAGCAGCTCCCCACCGCAGACAACCTCTGCTGCAGGATGCAGAGGAGCTTTCATTCTCCAGCTCCTGTGTTGTGTGGGACAACGTTCTCACGTCCCCTTCCCACTTACTTACAGAGGACCGAGTATGAAGTAACTTGGGTCTCACACACACAGGCCAGACTTCAGGTGGGTCCAAAAGGTAACATTGCAAAAGCAGGAGTAGAAAACAAAAGCATGTTTCACCAGGCAACATGCTTACATTGGCAGACGGGAGAGCAACTGCCAGGGCACTCGGGATGCAGTTTCCAGGAGCCTTCACTCTAGCTCAGTGTCAGTGTAGAGTGGCCATGTGCTTGCGTGAGGGCACAGGGATGGCACAGGCACCAGGGTACCTAAAATCCTCTTTGGCAACACCAGTCTCACTCAGAGCTCCCCCCACCAGTGCCCACAGTGTTAATCTTTAATTCCCTGGTGACTGTTTTGAGCTCGGCTCTCAGGAGTGAGCCAGCAGACAGGCCTGTTGAAGTCCAGTCAGGTTTAGAGCGAGCTGCTGAAACCACCTCTCCGTAAAGAAGGCAGTGGGCAAGAATGCATAAAAGTTGTAACGTTGCTCAAAATCATCACCACGGTGGGGTGTATTTATTTCCACCCCCACCCCCTGCAAACAGAACAGGCAGATGGTATTTTCTGAGCAACTGAAGGTTTGGAAATTAGTTTCCAAGCGTGCCTAAGCCCTTCTCAGAATCACATTGCGATGAGTCTGAGAGTGCCTTCGACAATGCAGCTTTTAAGCTGCTTTCACACAAAATAGCTGTTACGTCCAACATCTCAGTGTATGTGCTGCCCAGCATTCATGAACAGTAACTCTGGTAGGGGCAGCACATACACTGGCAAAGCCCTCGAGACTTGACAAGAGAACCCCCCTACGGGTATACAAATAAGGGGAAAGAATCAGAATTAATCACATCCGTGAGGAACCTGAACTTTCTGTAAAACAGCCACAGGTTCCTGATGCCAGGAATCTGGTTCAGTCCCGCTGCCTCCCTCCCTCCCTCCCAGAAACCACAGCTCACACACTGCCAAGTTTTGTGTGTGGTGTTTATTTTTTTTTTTTTAAATAAAAGACAGATTCCAGGATCCTATTCATTACTGTGCTGTTTGTGCAGGACAAAAGAACTTCAAATACTAAAATGCACAAGGCAAGTCGAAACAAGCTGTTTCAAACTGCTCAGCAGTGCAGGCTCAAGCACTTATTTGCAATGGCTTTACTCTGTACAGTCGGTTCTATGTAGCAATGCCTGTATATAAAGAATATAGTACATACTATGGTTTTCATTGTCAATTTACAAGAGAAAAAAATAAATATTTTTCATTCTTATTATACATTAACACTTCAGTAGAAAGCTACAGCTGTTGTGTTGGCATGACCTGCAACTTCAGGAGGAAAAAGGACATGCATGCCTACCTATTAAGAACTCTAAACTATGACTTTGTAATAAATTACAGAGGATAGATACCAGCCAACAGAATACAGATTATCTGAATTCAGTACACGTGTGATTTTTGCTCTGAGGAAAAAAAAACAAAACCAAACAAAAAATAATCTCGCAAAATACAAAAGCCAGTAGCTTGCATTATGTAAATACGACAAACCATGTGTGGTAAAGCCTTTTCTTCAAATGTTTGTAAATGACAGGCCTGTGGTTTTAGGCAGAGAAGTAGCCGAGTTGGTCCTTGCACCCTTCACACATAACTAGCACCGTAAAGATGCAAGGACCTCAGCAAACACCTAAATTTCATGCTTAATAACTAAAGCATGCAATTTGCAGAGTTTGTGCATGGTTTATACTCTGTTTATTAAGGTTATTGTGCAAAATAAGATTCTCAACCACTGAAGACTGTTCTCTTACTCTGTTAAAACTATTAGCAACACTTCTGAAGTTTAGCAGGCCTGTGTGAGATTAATGAAAGGAATATTGTACTCGTGGTTCACCCTTGACTGCTATATACAGACACTGTACCACTGAATTGGCAATGGAGAAAACAACAGCAGCAGCCTGAATGTCCTAAATGAAGCGGCAGAAAAATGAGTTCATACACACTGCAGTTTACTTAAAAATATATAGATATTTTCCAGTGGCACAAAGCTCTGTACAGGTGGGTCTGTCAGTGCAAATTCGTATACATGAGGTACCAATTTATTCAGGCCAGATCTAATTATATGTATGTTACAATCACTATCTTAATTTCCTGTTGTCAGATAGAGGCTGACAAGCTGTCACACTGAAATAAAATCAAAGTCAAAACAATTTTTCAGCATATTCAATATCAGATCATTGTAAATTTTCCTACAATTTTGTTTCTGAACTTTCACTCCTCAGACTTTATTTTTATTTTTTAAAAACACAGTGTTACTATTTCGTTTTCAAGATGTAAGACTTGATTATAGCAAAAGTTAAAACTATCTGTAAATTCAAACGATGACTGTAACTGGCTGAATACTGTAACACTGGTTGAAATTTTAGTAAGTACTGTCAGGAAGGGCAAACATAGTTATTGCTATTTGGGGATTTAAAAATAAACCAAACAAACCTGAAGGCATAGACAGCACTGTTCCAATGGTGAAAGTTAAATAGATACACACCAGCATTCTACCTAGAATCAGTCCTTTTGAATCTGAACACTCTTTAAGTTATCTACAGAGTTCTCTTCCAGGCAACTATGATGACATTTACATGGAGATATGGATTTGAAGTGGCTAACTGTGGGACACACACAGCTTTTCAACTCTGGTAATTCTTTCTTGAGACGTTCCAGCTGCTCCACCTGGAATATGTTTGGTTGTTCAGGGTTCGAGTCATATATCCTGAATAAATGAGAAAAGAAGAACCACTGATCAGTATAACCCAACAGCTCACAGAGATGCAGACTACATGAAGCAACTGGGGGTTTTTCCCCAATAAAGTAAAACTAGGTGTCAGCAAGTCTGTAAAAACAGTATGTCTGGGGTTAATACCTTAAGTTTTGCCGCTCATGTTGCAATATAAAATGGCATTCCTTTTGCACAATGGTTAATATTTTATTGGATATACTCAAGAGCAACCCACTGACATCTACCTTACTCTCCTGAAAAACGTGATTTTACAGGTGGCACAAAGCAGTGAAGTAATACGAGCAGCGTTCCAGGTGTCAAAAGCATAAAAGCAATTTCAGAGCCCTGAGATTATTTGAACATGCTGTGATACACTGCTTGTACACAATACAGAGCACAGTTTGTACTTGCTGTTTCAGTAAGGATTTTCACACACACAGTTCAGAACCATTTTTTAAAATTACCATTACAACATGAGATGAAGAGTGAAAAAGAAAACAAAAAATCTGGTCTTCATTCATACTTAATGCAAATTTAACTGTTTTCGATACTACATCCTCTTTCACTTTGTTTTCACAAATGCAAAACAGGCTGCAGGATTTGAACTGTCATCATACCAGACTGTCCAAACCCAAAACACACTCTTGAATTTGACAGTGCAGGCACTGAGAATAACTCAAATACTATTTTGGTGCAATTCATTATAAAGCAAAAGCATTCCTGATACTGTAACCTAACCTGGGTACAACACTTACTGTGACATCCTGATCTCCTGATATTAATTTCTAACATCATCATGTTATTTATACCCCAAATCTAAATCCTGGCATCCAGTTACCCTCATGTGTAGCTACTGTGCACAGGTTCAGGTATTGCAGAACTCCAGGTTTATCTCCTTCAAATGAAAACTTCTGGAAAAAGAGTCTTTTAGAGTCTTAATCTCTTAGGAATATTCGTATTTCCACTTACAATTCTTTCAAGAAAGCAGTTTGGGTTTATTGCATCATCCTTTTTCTTTCATACCATAATTTCAAGGTAAGTCCAAAAGGAACGAAATGTCACAACCAAAACAATGGAGAGCTATATGATATAGTGCCAAGGTATCTCTTTTCCCCAGCAAGACAACTAGTGAACTGCTGGCAAGTCCAAGACATCAAAAATAATGATGCAGCTCAAAGAGTGAGATGGTAAATGGATTTAGATGAGGAAACAGAGGGCATGGATCACATTCCATACAGTAAAATCAAAGATAGTTTCTGTAAAGAAGCTCCTAGAAGTAAGGACAAATGCTGTCCACTTTTCTGGCACAGCATAAAATAACGTAGAAGGCACAGCAGTTAAAATCACTTGCACTGCACCTATAACCCAGTACAGGCCTAAGATGTGACCCAAAATCACCTAACAGAAGTTACCTGCAAAAGAAAATCTCAACCTTCCTTCCTTCCAGGATGCAGGTACAACCTGTGCTTTCTTCAGCTAAGTTACCTTACCTATTACAAATTTCTTCATGCATTTAAGACAAAGCACTGAAATTAGAAGATAGTTTTTTTATACAGTAACACACCTTAGGAACTGCAAATCTTACGTCTTTCCCATCAGTCAGACACTAGAAGAGCAAATGCATGTTTCTAAGGCCCTTGCTCCTGAAACATGGTTAACTATGTTTGTAAGGAGCTTCTGGCAGGTATTTTATTAGTTCTTTACTACGGTCATGCATTGAGCATGGAACTGATGTACTTAGCTCCCATCAGGTGTTTTTGTCACCTCTGAAAACACATACTTCCAGCAAGTCCCAGTCACAGCTGGTTTTCTTCAGTATTGCTTGGTCCAAAAGCAGAG